TTTGTACTAGCTGAAGCTTCTGGATATTCTTCAAGGGCAGCCCCATACAGAGTATGTTATAGTAGTCTAAACTGAAGTTAACTAGGGCATAGGTGACTGTGAGCGGGGCTTGCCTATCCAGGAATAGGTGCCACTGGCACATAAAATGGTGTGCAAAGGCCCCCAGATCAGGGGTGGGATTCAAAAATCCCAGCAACTGGTTCGCTGCCCGGTTGCTGGGTGGGAGTGGCCATGATTTATTCATCATGAAATGGAGCTTAGTTATGTAGCATGAGGCTGTATATTCTGCAATATTGGGATTGTCAGTGAATCAACAGCAAGTCAGAGGAGGAGCCACTGTGGGACAGAGAAGAGTGTTGCTCTTTAAAAATTATGATTTAAATCGAGTTGATTTAAGTCAAGACTTTTTATTATGATTTAAATTGTGATTTAAATCAACTTGATTTAAATCAAATCTACCCTGCCAGAGAGTCACTTTAATTTCTTGGTATCTTTCCTCAAATTCTTTACCTTCCTCCTCAGTAAGTCTGTTACCAATAGATCAACTATTCAAACTTCTCAGAAAACAACTGAAGAATCAGGGGATGATGTTTTCCCATATTCCATGCCATACCTTTCAAACCCCATAATCAAAACAACCTGGCTTCATCCACACCTGCACAATATTAGAATTTTTCCATAGCACTTGGAGCTCATGCACAAACACTTTCACTTTTCTCACTAATAATATATGAAAAAAAGAAGGGCTGGAAGTCAGTCTGGTTGAAAAACAGAAGATTCAGTTATTCCGGATCAACACAGATATCTGAAAATTCAACATCCTATTTTGAAGGGGTCAGCTAGATACCACCAGGAAACTTAACAGCCGAATTCCTCAAAGGAGATTTTTAACTTTCAAGATCTGCCCAGGTTTTCATATTCAACCAGGTTTTCAAAACTGTTTTGCAGAACTGTGAGCAACGCAAGAATTTGATGGGGTTCTGTGAGAGACTAAGGGGGAAAAATTGTCTTGAACATAGCTTTTTTTCTTGATCAGGATTTCAGATAGATAATCACATGGGCCATTATATAGAATTATATCTCTCTGAATAGTGGAAAAGTCTACCAAGAAAAGTGGTCAATTTTTAGATAGAATGCTTTCAAACAGAGGCTGGATAAGGAACTGTGAGGTAAACTGCAATTGTAAGGACTTTTTTTTTTTTGGCCCTCATAGCAGATAGTTTAGATTACCTTAGATATCCTTTGATTTTGTAATCTACAGTAGAGCAAAAGCCATCTAATAATTGCTACTATGGAATTGGTATAGGAAGCACAGTGCCCTTGATATTGATAATGTATAACCCTTTGGACTAGTAACTAATGATAAGCCCTGTCTTCTGTGTACAGTATCTACTGCTGGATAAAAAGGCTGCTGCAGCCAAACGTGGCTATTTTGCAGAAGGCAGACTATCATTTAAATAAATGATCATTCAAATAAAGTCAGATCATTTGCTCTGCAGATGCCCCCCTCTTCAGATACAGAAAGAGATGCAGCACACTCAGAAAAACTTCCACCTTCACACCCTTGCTGGAAGCACCCGGAGAAGGCACTCTTCATATGCTCAGCAATGCTTTTCTCATGCATGCACTAGACTAGCAGATATAAAAACTCTCTCTCTCTCTCCCTTCCTCTTCTGCGAGGTTGGACTTCTACCTGCCGGTTAAAGAAACCCGACTTGGTGCCCGTACGGCTCATGTCCGCCCTCCCCCTCCCCAAAACCCTTCGGGCCCAGGCAATCTGCACATGCTCCTGTTTTTCACCCAGGCGGGAAGGAGAAAACGGTTTGCTGACCCAGTCCGAGAGGTATTATTCCCCGCCCCGTCCAATGTCAACTCC